ATTATTCATCATTTTCTTGTTAGATTCCATCTTTTCGTCTTTAACACTTTATTCTGTTATGTATTTGTAGATTCTGAAGGCTTGTGAAGATTGCAATTGCATAGGTTATATTGTAACTGTGCCCTTCTTTCTTGTGGTTGCTCTATATCCAGTCCTTGTTCCTATGGTTTGGAAAAGGAGAACCCTCTCTAAGATGCTGTGTGTCAGGGAAGGTTTACATCTTCATGGTTGTCCTTGGCTTTTTTCTCCTGCCTCTGCTCTGCTCAGTAGACATGCCTTCTTGTGACTTTGCTTTGGCTCATCTGTTCTATATAAAGTCAACATAGGCAAAGAGTTTAGTTTTTGAAACAGTTTTCAGTAGTATAGCATCTTCTCTCAACCTAAGAAATATATGTGAGCGAGCTGGTTATATTTAAATTTAAAGGGCAAGGGAGGATTATTAGTGAAGGGGAAGCAACTTCAAATTAAATACTGAAATGCTTGCCTCTCTCTGCTCTTTGGTGTTCCCAAGACCAGGGTGTCTTGACTATCCGCTTGACCTTATCAGTCTTCCATCTGGACCTTTCTCCTTCCCCTCTTTTTTTCCATTTCAGTTTTCTTTGCCTCAGTTTCCACACCCCTTTCTCACACATCTCCTTCCTCAGTTGCATCTGAGTCCTCTATTCCATGATGCAGGATAGTTCACCTCTTTCCCTCCATTTGCATATTGCAGTTGATCAAAGTACCCCGTTGGGACAAGATCCACTCTCTCAAAGAGGCAGTTGGTTGAACAAAAAGATTTTTTGTTTTTGTGGGTTTTTTTTGGCCAGTAAAACAGAATATTAAAATGCCAAAGAGTTTGTAAGGATGGCAACTGTATGCATCAGTAACTTCTGAAGTAGTAACAGATGGGGCACAAGAGAGACCCGATTTGGATGAATTACTACCTAAAATTAGAGATTAATGTGTTATGTTCAGAATTTATTTTCATGTGCTAGAAATAAACACCATAAAGTAACTAAACTCCAAAGAGGATATATTTAAATAAAATAACATGAATAATAAGTCCAATTTTAATTTTAAAGTAGACTACACAATCTTATAGATACTTCTTATCCAGTATAATTTCAAAAATTTATTAAAAATAAACTAATTTGACCTAAACTTGAAAATTTATAAAATAATTTCATAATTATATTAAAAATAAGTGTCAGTTCTGATTTTTTTTATTAATTTATTTATTTATACAAGCACTGGGTACAGTCAGAAGCGCAGGAGGGTGAGAGGATTCACCAGAGACAGAGCAGGGAACAGAACAGGCAGACTGAGGAAATACACTGCTGAGGGGAGCAGTGGGCGCGGCAGGAGAGGTCTGCTGTGCCATGTGGGACCCTCACCAGCTGGCCAGGATCAAACCAGTGCTGCAGAGGTTGAGGGCAGCTTCGCAGCCCAGCACTCAACCTCTGAGTGCGCCACCAGGGGAGGCCCGAGTTCTGATTTTTTTAACTTTCAAGATTTCTTCCTCCTTTGGCTTTAGCTGAAGTGGCAGAAAGTAGGCCTTTTATTCCTTCACACTTACTCACTTTATTTTAACTTATTTATCTTACCTTGATGATCAAATGGTGTAATGGTCACATGAATGCTAAAGGAAAGAGGTGCTTATCTTTAACTGAAGCAATCCTTTTGTGTTTTTATACCATTAACTCAAATTAGCTCATCCCACCTTTGTGAGTGGTTTGTATTAATGCTAATTAATACAAATTAATTTGTATTTTGAATTAATGCTGATGAATAACTGGCAATGGCCAGCTCCAATCTGATCTGGTTAGATAATTGGGTCCTCCTTGCCCTCTCCACTCCACCATAACCTTGTCTGAACATAGCCAGATGAGTCTTTCATGAGGTAGGTGAGAATTGGAAAAGTCAATTCAACTTCTGGGTGTAAAGGATCGCTGTGGTAGTAAATAACGTGTTATATATTGTCCCCTTAGGGTGGCTCTGGGAACAGAAGTGTATCAGAAAGCTACAAATTTTCCATTCTGTTTGAGAAAAACCCACAAGACTTATTTTTTAATCAAACATTTTACTTTACGGTGATGTTATATTTCTATGGAATTTTAAGAGACATTATGGAATGATTTTGTGCAAATTTTATTGTTTCCCTCAATAGTGACATTTCATTACCCCAAGGATCTCCTATGTTGATTTTTTCAAGTCATACCCACTTTTCTTCTTCCCCCAAACCCTCAGCTCTTGGCAACCATTGAAATCTATTCTCTATCCATATATATGTATATATATGTTCATATATGAGAATATATTCTCTATCAATCATCCATTCATCTATCTACCTACCTACCTCTCTATCCATTTTCATTTTAATAACATTTTATAAATGGAATCATACAGTATATAGTTTTAGGGGTTTCACATTTTTTCACTAAACTTAATTGCTTGACGATTCTTCCAGGCCATTGCATGTAGTTATAGTTCATTTTTTTATTATGGCTAGATTGGGGTAAGGATGTATGTAGGGTAAGGTAAAGTATCAGGCTTTTCTGTCCTCATGCCATTAGGATTGATGATGGATCCCTGTGGTCCTGAATACATGCCTGATGGAGGTTACCTGGAGTGGGGTGTGGGCATGCGTTAGTGGGTGCACCTGGGCTGAGAGACTGGGCTTATAAGGGTGGTGTCATGGGGACGCCAGCAGAAGCAGAACCACAGGAGAAGCAGAGAGAACACGAGAGAACACCGGAGAGCCCAGAGTGAAGACTTGCTCCTGGCCCCCCAGCACCCCTGCCTGCTGTGTACCTGGTAAATCCCAATAAAAGCCTGGAAAGCCACTGAGGGCTCCAGGACTCTCTCCTCTTTTACTCCGTCTGCTCGGTTCATAGAAAACCTGCCCTTTGTCATTCCTGCCCTTACAATGTACTACAATGTCTTAAGCCATTCACCCATTGAAAGGCATCTGGGTATTTTCTAGATTTGGACTATACTTAATAAAGCCACTACACAAATTCTACAAGTTTTTGTGGGAATAGAATTTTAGGTTCTCCAGGATAAATGTCAGGAGCACCAATCGGGGTGTATGGTACTGCAAGTTCAGTATTTTTAAAAACCTGCTAAACACTTTCCCAGAGTGACTGGACCATTTCATATTTGCATCAGCTATGTGTGAATGATTCAGTTTCTCTATATCCTCACATCCAGCATTTGGTGTGGTCATTTTTTTTTTTTTTTTGGCTCCACTTGCATGGGTGTAGTGCTAATTCATTGTGGTTTTAATTTGTATTTCCCTAAGTCTAGTAATGTTGAACATCTTTTCATGCCACCTGTATGTCCTCTATGCTGAAATGTCACTTTGTTTTTCACCCCTATTCTAATTAAATTGTTTAATTTTTGTTGAGTTTTGAGAGTTCTTTAATATTCTGTATACCACTGTTGAATATATAGTTTGCCCAAATCATCAACCATCTTAGCTAGATTTCGTGGATACTTACTGCAGTTTCTACATCAGCACTTGCTGCTTCATCTGGCATGTTTATGTTATGGAGACCTTTTCTTTCATTAAGCCTCAAAACACAACTTCTGCTAACTTCAAACTTTTCTTTGCAGCTTCCTACCTTCTCTTGGCCTTCAGAGAATTGAAGAGAGTTAGGAACTTGCTCTGGTTTAGACTTTGACTTAAGCAAATATGGTTGGCTTGATCTATCCAGACCACTAGAAATTTCTGCATTATCAGCAACAAGACTTTCATTTCTACAAGACTTATCATTTGTGTGTTCACTACAGCGGCACTTTTGTAACTAATTTGGCTAGCTAGCACAAGAGGCCTATTTAGGACTTTTCCAGCAAAAGAGAAGTCAATGGCTGACTTCAAAGCCTCAAAATTCAGGCTAGTGCATCTGGTCACTCTTAGCTGAAGCCATGTTCATTTGTATGTCTTTCTCACTAAGCTTCATCTGTAACACTGTCAATTTTCCGATTTTCTAGGAATGCAGCTGGACCCAGTTAATGGTTAGGGGGGTTGGGGAAGAGGGAACAAAGGGTAGAGTTTAATTCCACCTATTTCTAATTTTTAATCTAGGGGAGTTTTTATGTTGCAAAATACAGGGGATCTGGCTACATAATGACAATACATAGAGATTAGGTGATTTAAGGAAAGGAATGATTTTAAGTGAGTGGTTTCCTAAGGACTAATAAAAGTAATGTATGAATTATAGTTTCCATAGAAATAGAGGATTAGTCTACTAGTGTAGTTGCTGGGAGAATTGTGATGTAGGCAAATCGTGTTGTCAGTGGCCTGTCCTTCTGTTTCTCTTTTGCGCCACTCCCTGGAAAGAGGATTGTGTGTCTTGTGCTTGTGAAGTAGGCAGAAAAGCACAGGAAGGTATCAGGTGCCTGACAGGTGGGGGATGAAGAATATCAAGTTCCTAATAGCTCTCTACTTACTAGTTCTGTGACCTTGGGCAAGCTGGTTGATCTCTGATACTTAGTTTCCCATCTAAAAACAAAACTATCCACTGATTTACATGCAAAATAGATTGAATGCAGATCATTTGTTTTATTATTTATTACTGTGTTTATTTTTTAAAAGTTATTGTTTGAACTTAAACTAAAATACTTTATTACTGATTTGGTGATGAATGTGCACACCAGAAAAGTCAAAGTTGCAGGGACATTAATGATTGACCATGGCGGTTTATCAGACTGCAAATTAATTCACAATGGATTCTGAGGACACTAGAAGAACCATAAACTTTTGAGTGTTGTGGTGCTTTTGGAAATCTCCCTTTGCTTAAATGAAGAAAAGAACTCCATGACATTCATAACCAACTCTAAAAATTCCTACTGCTTTCCCTTCCACGCTAGCCTAATTTTTGTTCATACTGAAATGTGTAGATGAAGCAGCTTTGTATTTATTTTCATCTTACTATTAATTTTGCATCAGCTACTTTTTGGCCAGTTAAGCAAAACATTGATTTAATTGCTCTGTTTGTCATTGCTTCTCATTCTAGGCAATGGGCCTCACCACGACCGTTGCTGTACTTATAATGAAAACAACTTTGTGGATGGTGTTTATTGTCTCCCAATAGGACACTGGATCGAGGCCACTGGGCACACTGATGAGATGAAGCACACAACAGACTTCTATTTTAATATTGCAGGCCACCAAGCCATGCATTATTCAAGGTAAAAATAGTGTCGTATTTATAGGCATAGAAGTAGGACAAGAGGTAGCATTAGGATAACGGAAGTATTTACTGTGTGCAAAACTGCAGTGTCTCCCTTGGGAGGGGTGCTAGACCTGCAGGGCTTTGAGAATAATTAGTGAATCACTATGTGGGTTTTTCTGGTTCTAGAAGTGAATGATCCTTTTCACAAATTTTTTCCCTAAAATACATACCCTGGGATCAACATGTTTTGACCAGACAGTAGAAAATTGATCTTTACATTTACATAGTAGATTAAAACTAAAATCTAGACTAAAATAACCAAGATCAACATTTTGATCTATCTCTTAGACTACACTGACCAATAATGAAACAAAATTAATGTCTTCTTATAATACCTTACCTAGGTATCATAACATAAATGTGTGAAAATCAAGACATAAAAATTATGTTGGATATGATCATTTGCTCTATTTTTTATAATTGTGCTCATTTTCATTTATTTGTTTACTATTATACCAGCAATATATGATTGGATAAAAATTTAGACACTTAAGAGGATGCTAAGTGAAAATTAAGACTCACTACACTTTCTGTCTTCCCACTTATTAAAATCAGTTCTTTTAGTTTTGGGGGGGTTAAACCCAAATCTTAAATGATATACATATATTTTATTTGCTAATATATCAATTAAAAATACTCACAGGTTCTCCTGTATGACATGAGAGAAATTTAGCTGACTTACACTGTTCTCTCCTTCCATTCTCCATCATGTTCATTTAAAAAATATTCTCTTTTATTTCTTGATCCATAAATTTTTGACAGTGTCTCTTGATTTCCTGCTATGTAAGATAAGATCTTTATTGCCCCTGTGTTTTCCTCCAGTTCTACCTCTGCCTATTAACTTCTATTTTAAAAGTACTTTTACATTTTCAATGTTTATAGATGATATATTTAATTGAATGGATATGAACAAATTTTTCATACTTGGATGATTTAAAATTTATAACCAATACCCAAATTAAAAATACTTTGTAATATTTATTTACTGGAGAACATACAGTTTGTACCATAGACAAAGAGATACATTTTTATTTTCTTAAAAATTATATTGCTTTGAATTAGAGATTTAATTAATACAAACAAGGTTGGCAGGGGTGGGAGATATTGAGAATACTTATCATAGTGTTAGGGAATTAATATTCTTCTTGGACAAACTTTTTTTTTTTTTGACAAACTTTTCTTATAAATTCGTGCGATATATTAGCCTTGAAGTGGACTGTATGCAGAGAATGAGGACTTAAGCCTGGCTTAAGTCCATGTATTAATGGTTTTGCTATTTACTGAGATGTGGAAGCCAGGAGATGACAGATTTGGAGTAGGGATTGAGATAAAATTCTATTTTAAACATACTGTACTTGAAATGTGTATTAGATGGCAGGAGGGAGTCAATTTGATATGTAGAGTTTTGGGGAAAAGGGTGGAAATGGAAAGATAAAGTTGGGGTTATCATGTCTGATGCCATTCTGATGAGTCTAGGTGATATCATTTAGAAATAAATGAGTAACAGAAGAGACAAAGAGAAGGGAAAATGCTGAGCCTGTGGGCCCATGAAGTTTAGCGATCCAGAGTAAAGAATAAGGAGCACATATCCAGATGCACTGGCATTTAGTGAGGATGGCTTATGGATTCCTTTTATTTTTTCTGAACCATGTTTGCTGAACTCTCTTATATGAAGTGTCACGACTTGAGCTCTAGGGATTTTCTTCTACTATTTGATTATTTCTTTCCTTTCATTGTCTTTGTTCTATCATTAATGACACTCCCTTAGATAGATTTAGGACTTTTTGAATTTATATCCATATTTTATTTATTTATTATTTTTAAAATTTTTTTTTAATTTTTTAAAATTTTTAAAATTTAAATTTTTTTTTTATTTTTTTAATTTAAATTTTATTTTTATATTCCCCATACAATTACAACCCCCTTATTTTGACCCCAATCCCTCCTTTCCCCGCCCCCCACCCCCCGTAGAATATCTCTGGTTCATAGTTGTTTGTTGATTTTGATATTTTCTTTCTTATAGTTATTCTTTTTCCTGGTCCTTTATTTAAGTTTTCTAGATTCCTGCTATGAGTGAGACCATCCGGTATTTTTCTTTTTCTTTCTGGCTTATTTTGCTGAGCATGATCCCTTCCAGCACCATCCATGTTGCTGCAAATTGCATGTGTTTATCTTTTTTGAATGCTGAGTAATATTCCATGGTGTATATGTCCCGCATCTTCTTGATCCAGTCATCTATTTTTGGGCATTTGGGTTGTTTCCAAGACTTAGCTATTGTAAATAGTGCTGCTATAAACAAAGGGGTGCAGGTGTTCTTTGGAATTGATGTTTCTGTGTCCTTTGGTATACCCATATTTTAACTTATAAAAATATTTTTTATCTCCTAGTTTTATTGCTTCACTTTATGAGCAACTTCATTTTTTCTTTTTGTTTTGTAATTGTATGCTTTTCATATATTCTTGATTATTCTGTCATTTCTTTTTTTGTAGACTTGCTCTGGTTTAGAAATGGATATAATTTTGAGTCTTTCTTAGACTGTTAATGAGAATTATTTTAAAGTTCTTTTCTTGTCTGGAACTCTTTTTAAATATTTTATTTTATTATTATTTTTAAAATTTATTTATTTTTTAAAGATTTATTTATTTATACAAGAACTGGGTACAGGCCAGATGTGCAGGAGGGTGAGAGGATTCACCAGAGACAGAGCAGGGAACAGAACAGGCAGACTGAGGAAATACACTGCAAGGGGAGCAGCGGGCGAGACAGGAGAGGTCTGCCTTGCCATGTGGGCATCTCCGTGGCTGGTGGGGATTGAACCGGCACTACAGAGGCTGCAGACAACTTCACAGTGCTGTGCTCAACTGCCTGTGCCACCAGGGAGGCCCTTTTCTGGAACTCTTCTTGTTTAGTTGTTCTCTATTCATTCTGATCTTTCTATTTTGTATTGTTAATTTCTTTAATTAACTGGTCATTCTTAACTTACTTATTTTATGGATAGTAGGTACACATATACCTTTAGTTATTTCAGCACAGCTTCCCTTTTAATTCCAGCTACAAGTAAGTCTAAATTGAAACTGGACAAGATAATGTGAATTCAGTTGAAAAGAATTAAAATTCATGTATTTCATTATTAAATTGAGAACATGTAATTGCTATGGTGGCCATGTTCCCTTGACTATGGATAATGCTAAAATCACTTGTGAATTTATCTGATCTGCTAAAATAGATACACCATGATAGATTATATCCTTGAGTATATATAATAATACAGATATCAAACTCACCTAATAATTTGTAATTTGTATCACTCTTTAGTAGGCCTGCACCTTTTTTTTTTTTATGATGGCATAAATCTTATCAGAAATGAGTTGTCATTAAGTTTTCTTCATGATAATGCTGTCAAAAATATAAATATCTAACAATTAAAATTAATTTAATATGGCAAATTCAGTGAGAATTTTGTGAATTGCTCTGGGTGGCTCTGAATTCAGTGCTGAACAATTAGAGATGGAGTGGCAGCATCCCTGCCCTCAGGATCTCTCATGTTCTTATGCAAGATAAGCACATAGACAGCTGTAGTGTAGTGAGATAATTTCTGTAACAAGTTTGCACATTCAGTATAACAGGGACAGGAGGAGAAGTCTCTGATTCAAAGACATCTTTATGAATAGAACTTGAACAGAAATATGAAGGTTTTTTTTTTTTTTTTCCTAGGAGGGCATTTGGAATGCCCAAAAGTCCAGGTAAGGAGAATGGCATGTGCAAATATAAGGGAGTCTTAAGGAGCAAAGAGAAACTGATCAAATAACTTGATTCATACACAATAATTTTGAGAGTAAAAAGAAGCACTTTCAATAATTAGAATGCATGTAATACAATGGATGTAAAAACAGGACTGTTCTGGGGATACTAGACCATATGATAACCTACAGAATGAATCATATAGAAGAGAACATGCTCATACATCTCAACATTTGGAACTAGAGAGATAAGCAGATACACATTCTGCCCCAGTGAAGGGACAATGGAGACCCTTTAGTAGAAATTCATATCCATTACTTGGTGGGACCATGTTGAAGAGTTTTTGTGGCACATTTTGGTTTAAAATTTTATTCAAAGTATAGATGCTTATGTTTAAGGAATCTAGTGTTGTTGTTTTTTAATGAAAAAGAGAAGTTTACTGGCTCCCTTTACCCCTTGGGTCTTTCCATGGCAATTCACATTCAATGAAAGTTGATTTTTTGCTATAATAGTAAGATTTTATTGCTTCTTCTGGGTTTTAGTTACAGCTATTGTCCATTGGCTTCATATCATGAAATATGTAGATCTAGATTTTTTTTTTAAATAATAAATTTTATTTTTATATTCCCCATACAATTGCAGCCCCCCCCATTTTGACCCCAATCCCTCCCCTCCCACCCCCGCCCCCCTAAAAATGTCTCTGGTTCATAGTTTTTTGTTGATTTTGATTTTCACTTTCTTATAGTTATTCATTTTCCTGGTCCCTTATTTAAGTTTTCTAGATTCCTGCTATGAGTGAGACCATCCGGTATTTTTCTTTTTCTTTCTGGCTTATTTCGCTGAGCATGATCCCTTCCAGCGCCATCCATGTTGCTGCAAATTGCATGTGTTTATCTTTTTTGAATGCTGAGTAATATTCCATGGTATATATGTACCACATCTTCTTGATCCAGTCATCTATTTTTGGGCATTTGGGTTGTTTCCAAAGCTTAGCTATTGTAAACAGTGCTGCTATAAACATAGGGGTGCAGGTGCTCTTTGGAATTGATGTTTCTGTGTCCTTTGGGTAAATACCTAGGAGTGGAATTGCTGGATCATATGGAAGCTCTATGTTTAGTAGGTCCAGAAATCTCCACACAGCTCTCCACAGTGGTTGGACCAGTTTGCACTCCCACCAACAGTGCAGAAGAGTTCCTTTTTCTCCACACCCTCGCC